GATCTCCAGGTCTCTGGGTGCGCCTGCAAGAAGGGTGTGCACTCTCTTCAGGAAGGACGTGCTCTCTCCACAACCAGAGCTTTCTTCCTCAGGAAAGAGTGGCCCCAAATGGTGCCCGCCTCTTCTGGGATCCCAAGACAGGCTTCTCCACCTTCCCCACACAGACCAGGATGCCTCATCTGGTCAGAACTAAAGCCGGGACTCACAGGCCACGCTCAGCTGGACAGTGTTCTGCACAGTGAGGCCACGTCTGAAGGCCGCTCGGCAGGTGAGCTGGGTGCCGTGGTCACTCGGGCGTGGTGTGAGGCTGATTGCTGACAGGAAGGAGGTCTGGGGTCTGCTCTCAGTGCTGGAGAGGGCAGGCCCAGACCAGGAGATGGAAGGGGCCGGACAGTGCTCAGAGACCCCATGAATCCTGCAGCGGATGGTCACTGTCTGTCCGGGCTCCAGGGTCTCAGGAATGAAGATGTCTGGCTGAGTCAAGTCTTGTGTGTGTGGCGGAGGGGTTGGGGTAGAGGGGGAAAGAGATCAGATGCTCACACTCAGGCTGTGGTCGGAAGACCCTGCCTCCATCCCCAGCCTGGGAGCCCAGCCCCGCCTGCTGCACCTGTCACTTCCAGCCAGAACATGTCCACCAGGAAATTATATTTCAGCTTCTCTCCCTTCTCCACTCGGAAGAAGTAACGCCTCTGGTCGTCTCTCTGGGCATCTTTGATGAGCAGGGTGCAGTTGTTCCTTTGGGGGTCTCCCACCAGCTGGAATCGACCCTGGGTCCAGGCTTGCACGCGTCGTGCTGGGTTGGTGGAAGCCACGGGTTCCCCTGTGTTTGTGTTGGTTCCATTTATGAACCAGTAGCCATGAGCTTGGGAGGAATCCAGACCTGCCTCCTGGCTGGGGTAGGAGAAGGAGCAGGGCACGAGGACACACAGCCCTTCCTGCACCTTCACCCGGCTCTGCACCTGCACCTTGTAGCCCGGTTTCTGAGCCTGGGACCCTGTAGGGAGACAGATGGACTCAGTCCGCATCCCAGCCCTGTTCCAGCCCAGCTGCCCACGGCTTTTGGCCACATACCGCCCAAGGACAGCAGCAGCAAGAAGAGGCACAGCTGTGTGTTCAGATGCTGCATCCTGAGCTGCTCTGAAGCAATAAGAGCAGGGACAGGAGGGAAGTGCAGGAGGCCAAGTTGTGGTCACATGCGTGACACGCACTGCTGCCGGTGAGGCTGAGCTGGACAGGGGCTTCCCCCACCGGCCCTCTCCTGGTGCTGGGGTGTCTGCTGGGCTTTTGCACGCAGGGAGCTGGGCCTCCGCAGACAACTCTGGGGTAAGGAGGGGAGGTGGCAGGCCTGTGTCTGGCTTTGGGGCCTGGCAGGGGTGAGAGAAGGGAGTAAGGGGCTCTTCCCTGGGCCCTGGGTCACTGGGGAAGCAGAAATGAAAGCTAATGTCAGGACCTTTCTGGGGGAGGGAGGGGTCCTGGGGTGCAAAGAGAATACTTTTGTGGGGGAGGAAGCTTTGCGTAAATGGACTTTTCAGACTTCAAAAGTATGAGTAATCTTTCTGTTTTTTTTCTTGGTATAAAAATAGTTCCAACATTGGGGAAATAATGCTGAGAAAAAAATATTTGGTTATTTAAAATTCAAACTAGATTTCTTCCTCTTTTTTCTGCTTTTTTTTCTCCCTCCTCCTCCTTCTCCTCCTCCTTCCTCTTCTTCTTTTTACTTCTTTATTTTTATTTTTGTCGGTCGTGGGTTTTCAAATTGGGGCCTGGGCACTGTCCCTCAGCTCTTCAGCTCAAGCCGAGAGCTCTACCACTTGATCCACAATCCTGCTTCTGGCTAATGGGAGATTAGAAGCTTAAGAGCTTTCCAGCCAGGAGTGGCTTTGAACTAAGCTAGTCAGATCTCAGCTTCCTGATTAGCTAGGATTACAGGTGTGAGTCAACAGCGCCATGCCTGCCTGCCTGTCTGCCTGCCTGCCTTCCTTCGTTCCTTCCTTCCTCGTTCCTTTCTTCCTTCGTTCGTTCCTTCTTCCTTCCCTTCTTTCTTTCATTCTTTTTTTTTTCACCCTTTCCTTTTCTACTTGGTCTGATGCTGGTGGTAGCACTTGGCCTGGTTGTATCTCTGAGCCCCTTTTGCTGGAGGCTAGCACTCTGCCACTGGAGCCACAACTCTACTTTCTGCTTCTTCCATCACTAATTGGAGATAAGAGTCTCCTTGCCCAGGCTTCCACGGAACCACAATACTCAGATCTCAGTCACCTGAGGATTTAGGATTACAGATCTGAGCATCGAGTGACC